AGATACGCCAGTACCAGCTTTGGGCAAAACATCTCGACAGAACAAGAAAGCAACCGCAATTTCTTTGTGCGGAATGCCACGTGTCGGTAGATCACAATCATGAGGGCTGATCATGTCGGATAGTTCTGCACAGATCACGTAGACAAAATTTCGTTCATAATCAAGAACGAAATTTTCGCACTTTCCCTCTGGATTGGTGGAGAACTGTGACTGTAGCGTATTTGCAGCGTACTATTTCATTCGCTGTGCTCATTGTGAGAAGTTGTATTGTTTATTGTGGAAGAATACCACATGTGCTCTTGAACCGTAAGATCCTCATTCCTTGATGCAAGCTCTAGAAACGGTTATCCTCATAATAAAAGTTTTCAAAAGGAACCAGAAATGGAGAATCGGCCGCCTTCCGTTGGCAAATAATCAAAGAACTAGGTAAAATGGCCAAACAGAAGTTTTTTGGGGCTCATATCAAGTGTTTTGAACAAAAGCAAAAGTTTTCCAGTGTCAAGGATTCCAACATGCGACGTGACTCTGAAGCAGTGCGCATATCCACTAGGCCATCGGCCGCTTGCCGCGTGCAGTTATCGTTCTCAACTTGTGCAAACAGAGCAAAGATTAAATGGTCCGTAACTCCCTTCAGAGAATCGTTCCGCAAATTCGGAGGGCAGATTTGGATTCAGCGGCTCAAGACACGTCCATATATATACATCTCATTGCAAATGGCCGGATCGACCTGTTGGGGTTCCCTTGTAAGATTGGTACAAGTTTACTTGGCTTACTTCATTTTACTTTCTACGGCTACTCTATTGAATTCGGTAAAGCTTTTGGCCAGCGCATACCAGGTTCGAAAACTAATGGGACATTTTGGTCTGGTTTTTTATTTCACAACATCTTACTACTGTCAACAGCAGAACAGGGAGGTGCTGATCAAGCACGTTATTTCCGGAAGAAGTTACTAAGAAACTAAAAAACTACCAAGATACAGGATGAAGACTTGCTCCTATCCTGAATAGCTGACGAATACTTCAAAAAGTCAAACCATCATGCTGAGGTGAACGTTTGCCGGTCTTTGTATTACGTAATAACCACGTTATGTTCGGTTTAATTTACTAACCGATAATAAATCTTAATCATATTGAGAATTGATCGCACTGTCACGAGAAACCACTCAGCAACATAACCATCACGTGCCAATGGCCTTCTTCACATCTCCATCGCCTAAAGGGGGAGGCAAAAAGACACTTCGCCGAGTCACATATCAGCAAAGTTTTTGCAGATCAGAGAACGTGGATACGAGTACCAGGGCAGAAGATACCCAAGATGTTCCTCGATAAGCAGGAGCTGGCTCTCGCCCATCACCTTCATGTACACCAAAATATGAAGTCATCTCCAGTCGCAGCCTGACTGGAGAAGACCTTTGGAATTCACGTCACCTCCAAACAGCTGCGAAACTTCTTGTATGGAGTCACCCATGGACAGCTACCTGGGGACCGGCACTCTTGATCTGGAAGACCTCCAACATCGAGCAGCTCCGACAACGTCGCTACGGTCCAGGATATCATCTTCACCGCAGTCGCCAAGGCGGGTTGGTGGTATGGACCGGAAGTTCCTGGAATGTGAAGACCGATATTTTCTTCGTGGACCCGGACTGAAGTGAACGCTGACGGTTACATCGACCAACTCGTGGAGAATATCCTGCCTTCATGTCATCGCCTGTACCTTCTTGGAAACTTCGTACTGCTACAGGATTGGGTGCCTCCACACGGAATCGAAGGGCGTTGGAAAAACTCTCGCCTACTTGGAATGGAAGGGCGTTGAGTACCTGAAGAAGATGGAATATCTAAGCAGGTCACCTGACCTGAACCCCCTCAATTACCTGGTTCGGGCGGAGTTCAATAGGGTGGTCTACAGTGGCGGAGAAATCAACGATCTCGCTGAACTCAGGCACACGGTCGCGTGGCAGAATCTCTCGATGGCGCTCGTCCAGAAGGCTGTGGCGGAGTATCATGATAGTATGCAATATGCTGTTGAATATGGTGGTGGAAATGTCCAATCAGAATTTAATAAAGTGTAACTTATAGCGCCTTGAAAGTCGAGGAAGAAAAGTGTTTTTTTTGCCCCCCCCCTCTCTAGATATCCCAAAATGAATGCTACGCGAATCGGTCCTGCCTGGAAGCGAAGTCGCTCACGTTGCGGGAGCTCACTACTTGCAGCTGATTCGCGAGAGATGAAAAAAAGGAAAAGATGGTGCACCGAAAGAGCAACGTTGCCAGAGTATGTTGTGTGGGGTGTGCGGGGCACTGCAGACCGGATCCCTTCCTGTAGCTGACCGCGAGTGGTGGAAAAACGAAAGATGGGGTCAGTGATAGTCGTGGCATAGTAACCATTACATTTGGAAAATAATGAAGTCATGCGCTGGCGACCTCAGGCATCATCTCTAGAGCTTCTGGATTGCCATAAGGGCACGTCACACGTTGGGGATTTTCAGCGAGGAGGTCGTATTCGGTCACTGAAGAGGCAAATTTGAACAAACGGTAAGTCAACAGCACTTACTCCAGTCGAAGCGCAACTCCTCCGTAGTATCTACTAGATCCCTTAACTTCTCGTTATGCTTGTGTGATGGTCCATCGCTAGCAGATCGACCAGGCGACACAAGACGGTACTGCACGGTGTGAGAATTTGGTCGAACGTGTTTCAAATAGTTCATCTAAATTTTAAGCATTCAGAAAGTGCACATGGTGTGGCGATGTACTACCTCACTGAAAGATTACCTCACAAGTTGCCCAGTCGGTAATGTCGTACACAATGCCGTCGCAGCAAGTGAAGTACACCCAAAAAAGTCCACAAAAGCGTGTTTCCACCCAAATGTCGTTCTGGAAAAAATCGAAGCTATAAAAAACTGCTCGTAGCAACATAATTAAAAAGGCTTTCAAATTAATCCCAAATAATTAAGTAACTTTACCATATCTACTTTCGCAACAGAGCGTGCCTGGTATCAGGTAACTGACACTCTCAGGATGCAAGGCTCGTTGGCTTGAGCAAAATTCGATACAGAATTTCATCCCTGGACGTACGATGACCACTTGCCACTGCTACCCTTTGTTCCGATCAAATGGTCAGCTGTGTAAATTTTAAGGCACTAGCCTAGCAAGGTCATCGAACATCCGAAGGAGTATTGATTCTGTTGTATTAGAGGAATGAACTTTGATAAAGCTTGATACTGCACACCTCTTTGAGAGCGTATTTAAGAGAGGTGAGCGGTAGGGTCAGAGTTAGTTTTGCGTGTGGTTTACTCGCCAGATAAACCTACTGTGCTAATCGTCTATTTCGACACTCCCAGAGACAACTCAGAAGACAGGGAACCAACAGTGGCGATCAGGATATTCACAGGAGATCAGGATCAAGGATCAGCTATCCAGCACTCAAGCGACAAAACCAGGATTCCTCAGAAGAAGAAGTAGAAGTAGGACAGAAGAATCCCAGGACCAGGATCAGAGCAGAAGAAGTAGGACAGAAGAATCCCAGGACCAGGATCAGAGCAAGACAAGAATTTCTGGTCACAGCAGAAGAACCAGCGGTCTATGTGCTACGAAGAAGAATCAAGGACTCTTCGTGCAGTATCCCTTTTTATGCGACTCAGGATACTAGCCGTATATTTCTGCTCGCTTGCATCTATTCTATCAATCTATTACTTCAGCAAGAACCGGACAGGACCGAGCAAAATAAGTCTTACTCTGTTTGTGAAATAGAAGTCGGTTTTGCTTGTTATCCGCACAGTGAAACGTAAGGCACGTGCTCAGAATCGGTTTAGCAGTAGCGTGCCACACAAGCACAACCTATCATCAGAAGCACAGTCAGCTCACCGGACAACTACATCGACGCTTGGAAAAAAATGGATGTGACTATCATCCTGACCATGTTTAGAGAAATGATGGACGAACAGAGGAATGTTATGAACGAACAGAAGAATGTTATCGCCAAACTGCTAGATCGCATTCCAGAACGCGGACAGGGAGATTGCAATGCGACGGAGCACATGGCACTCCCAAACTTGATGGCAGCGTTGAGCAACCGCATTGAAAAGTTCGTTTTCGACCCGGATGCCGATATGAACTTCTCAAAATGGTTTTCAAGATACAAGGATGTTTTCTTCGAAGATGCAAAGCAGCTCTCTGAAAGCACCAAGGTCAGACTGCTCTGCGAAAAATTGGATCCTCTTTCTTTCGAGAAGTACCAAAGGCACGTGCTGCCAAGAGATGTGACAGAAATTGGGTTCACCGAGACGGTGGACATACTCAAGCAGTTGTTCGATTTCAAGTCGTCATTGTTTACCACGAGATATCAATGTCTCAAGCTAGAGAAGAGCCAATCAGAAGACTTCCTCACGTATACCGGTCGTGTGAATGAATTTTGCGAGAGAGCAAAGATTCACGAGCTAGACTCAGACGGGATCAAATGCTTGCTGTGGATTTTCGGATGAAGTCACAGCAGGAGGCAGAGATCAGGCAGAGGCTGATCACAATACTGGATAGAGACTACAAAGCAGGCAAAACGGTCTCACTGCAACAATTGCATCAGGAGTGCGAAAACTTCTTAAGCCTCAAGAGAGACAGTGAAGTTGTCGCCGGAACTATGAAACTAGTGGAAGCCACGTCCGTCCAGAAGCGGAAGGAAATAGAATGTTGGAACTGTGAAGGCAACCATCGTGCTAGTGGATGCCAAGCGAAAACCTTGGTTCTGCAAGAAGTGCAGGAAGGTCGGTCACAAGGAAAAGTTTTGTGACACTTTACGACAAAAGAAGACTGCGGTCGCACAGAGGCGACGCAGAAAACTCAGCATACTAAAGAGAAGTTCTCAAGGAACAGAAACAACAGAGGTCCGAGAAAACAAGTACGAATCGTCAAGATCGCAAATGCAGCAGTTCAAGCAAACTCTTCCCGTGTGTACATCGACGCTGTAGTGAACAACTACTCAGTCAAATTTCTTCTCGATACTGGATCAGACATCACGTTACTGAACGAGAAGATTTGGAAGAAGATGGGCTCCCCAGCATTGGAAAAGACCAATATAGTCGTGAAAAACGCAAGTGGAGATACCATGAAGATATATGGAAAGCTTAAATGCAAGATTACCATGAAAGGTGTCACTACTGAAGGAGACGCCTATGTGACGCCGCACAACTCACTCTTGGGTCTCGAATGGATTCGAGCAAATGAGAATTTGATGTACCACATAGAAATGATGGCTGCTGAAGTGAAGGCCAACTGTAACCCCAGACGTGAAGAAGAGTTGAAGAAAACATTCCCGGATGTTTTCGAAGAAGGTGTAGGACGCTGCACCAAGGAAAAAGTCGATACGTTGAAGAGAGGATTTAGAAAAGTCAAAGGGGAAGAGAAACCGTCAGAGGACACGATCAATGTTATACTGCAAGCATACCGAACCACTCCACACAGATGTCTTGAAGACAGAACTCCAGCAGAGATGTTCCTCGGAAGAAAACTTCACACGCGCTTAACCTTGCTCTTGCCTACCGACGAACCATCAGCACGGACGTACGCCGAAGAAAATCGTAGGAAGATGAAGGAACAGTACGACAGGAGGAGTGGTGTGGGAGAGGGCAGGTCATTGAGAGGCAACCGGAAGCGCCGTGATCTTGGCGGGAATTAGGAGTATATAAGAGTTGTGGATGCATGGAATAGATGCCTCATTTTCGATCTGTTTTGACCGCCGAGTCGCGGTGCTGCCTCACCCCCTTATTTGAACCTACCTAAGATTCACTTCATTATTCGCTTTATTTGTTCATTTGATTTGGTTGCCGTTTCTTTCATTGTAAAGTATTTGTTTAATAAATTGTTTTCGTAAACAGTGTCTTTGTCGTGCTCGCAGAACTGTCACTTCGGTGTCATACTTGATCGAATTACCGGGAACAAATCCGGTACAGGTGCCATCCTGAAGGAGTTCCATAAGGGAGACGACGTGCGTGCAGATGTGGAAAGCCCCACGCTTCACATGGAAGCAAGGAGTTGTCGCAAAACGACTTGGGAAGGTCAACTATGAGGTCGTCGTTGAAGGAAGGCTGATGCGGAAACACGCTAATCAATTACGACACAGCAACACAACCGCAAGCTGGAGATGTGAAGACAAATCGTTGAAAACCCTGCTCGACGTGTTAGAATTGGATGACAATCGGCTAAGAAGCAGCGACGAGGTTGCTAGTGACTTGGACGTCAACACCGCTATACCGTGCTCTCCAGAACCATCACTGCGACGATCGAAGACTTGTGAAACGATATGGCATTGATGTGTAGATTCAAATTTCGAATGCTTTGTTCCCTTGTAGTAGAAAGACAAATATTGTTGTTCACATCTTTCCTTGTCTTTCTACTGGGGGAGGTGTTGTATAGAGGAATGAACTCTGATAAAGTGTGATACTGCGCACCTCTTTTGAGAGCGTATTTAAGAGAGGTGAGCGGTAGGGTTGAGTTAGTTTTGTGTGTGGTATACTCGCCAGATAAACTTTCTGTGCGTATCGTCTATTTCGACACTCCCAGAGACAACCAGAAGACAGGGATCCAACAGTGGCGATCAGGATATTCAACAGATTCATTTCGAAACTACGCGTTGGAAAAGCAGAATCATCCTGGCCTACTTTTTCCAGTAACAAAGCTGAGTGCATCTTCCAACCTCGCAGAGTTCAGCTAAAGAAGACCTAATCTCCAGAGCCACACGCGCCTGACGCTCAAATCCTATGCCCCCCCCCCTTCTACTGCAGCTACAGTAGCGGCAAAAAAGATGGAACAAGCCCAAGTCGCGCGCTTTCTAATAGTTCAACATACAGTTTTCAAATTGCACATGAAAACTTTGTTTGCTCAAGTGCGCCTCAAAATGCTATTCCAAAAAATAAAAATTGTTCATTAGATTGGTTACAGGGACAGAATTAAGATTATTTCGATGCGGCTACCACTCGAAATTGGACCGCTTTCGAAATTTCTAATGCTTTGCAAGTCAACGGAAGATCACACCTGTCTGAGTGTTCGTCCGTTTTCCATCTATTTTTTTACAACTCTCGAGAAACCTATGTTGTTCCCAAAGCATTAGAAACTCTGAAAACCGGTCCAATATCAGAGTGGCAGCGGCATGCCGCATCGCGATAATCTTCAAAATTCTGTCCCGGTAACGAATTTAATCAACAAACTTTATTTTTCAAAATATCGTTCAGAAATAAAAAATAAAATAAATTGTTCAGGCGTACTTGGTTTCAGCAACAAAGTTTTCATGTGCAATTTAAGAATTGTATGTGAAACTATTAGGAAGCGCGCGACTTGGGCTTGTTCCGAGTTTTTTTTGCCGCGACTGTAGTTAGCCACTAAATGCGACCTTCTCATAATATTCGTGATGATACAGCCAGACGCAAGAGATGCAGGCGCCGCTCGATACAAAAGTAGAAGAAAGCGAAAGAGAATTCTTGTAATACCGCTCTTGCTGGATGACGCGTCTTGCAGCGGCGGCAATAACGTGCTTCATTTTGACGGACGTCGAGAGCAACTCGTGAATGACGTCGACCACAGTCACAATACATGGAATTACGAGCCTCTTCCACACGTTCACGGATGCGGTTCCATAACTTGCCAATTTCATGATGCTGAAAGCGATGGATTATTTTATAAGCGCCCATTCATATTTATACCATTTTTATTTTGAATCGGATGCTTTTCAAATCAAGGACGCTCATTAATTCAAGTCGCACACATTCTAAACCAATTTTCATAATTGGACGCAAAAAGAGAAAAAAGAGAACGCTTGTTCGGGGCGACAGGGAGAGACTCCAACCTGCCGAGTTGGATTATTTTTGAGGTGGGCGCTTCTGTGAAGTGGAAGTGGCTTCTAATGGGAGGAAAGCTACCTGTTACAGCCTAAAATGGTGTGGATTTTGTATGAGTGGTCAAGAGGCGGGGCTTCATGTGCTGGTGATGCAAATCTACAAGGACGTCCGTTTTGCGAAAAATGAATATGAAAAGAAAGACGTTGAAAAAGTAAGTCAGAACTCACAATAACTTCATTAAAAAGAGGGTGGAACGTATCGGCGTCGGTATATCTGCCGACGCCGATACGTTCCACCCTCTTTTTAATGAAGTTATTGTCAGGCAGTGGACGGAATGGCAAAAGTTCAAAGAAGCCACAGAAGCAGTTTTTGGAAAGAATTTTGGAAAACTATGACAGCACCGAAAAGTGGGCGAGGGTGCTGGGGCGAGGCTTGCAGCAGTAACTAGTGTGGTCAAAGGCATGACGTAAGAGATGTGCTTGATTTGGATTGGAAAGTGTCCGATTCCAAATGGAAATGCTGTAGAACATATATGGGTGCAGGTGTAGCACAGTCTGCTGCCTGCTGTGAGATAGATGAAGTGTCACGTAAGGCAGCGTTCAGACTTGTAGCGCGACAATTGTAGCGCTACAAGTGTGGCGCTACAGTTGTCGCGCTACAACTGTACCAGACCCCAGCTTCCCTTTATGTTCTTTCTTCCGGTATTCAATCCCTTTTTCACTGTTTCTCATTTCTACCTGATTCTTAGCTCCTCTTTTTCACTTTAACATTGAATTTTAATGTAGTTTTTGATACAGGACACTGTGATAATGATTTTGTATACAGTTTTCGACTTCATTTATTCAGTCCTACGGTTGCTTGTTGTTGGGATGTTTGATGTCTTGCTTGTTGTTGTTGGGATGTTTGATGTCTTGTCTGTTTGATGTCAAATTTGCAACCTAGCAGGTTGTTATGAAAGAACTGATGAAGCTTGTGCAACAACTAACCAAATCATTCTTGCAAGGACGCAGACGAGTGAAATTGTACATTTTCCGAGCTTCCGGTGTCGAGATAGCTTGGTAGGCTTTAGTTACCAATTCATGAGCTTCTTCCGCTCCTTCAAGCATGTTCTGCAAAAAATGCTTTTAGTGCAGACACTGTGAATATTAAAAAAAAACTAAAAAGCTAATAAGAAAGAAGGAGAAGCTAATACTTGAACACTGAGCACAAAAATGACACCTTTTCAGGATTCAAAAGTGAATTAAGCCTTTTGAAATGCCTTCGCACATCTTCTTCTGTGCACGATGCCTGGAGTCCAAGAACACCGTACGCGTCTTGACACTTCGGGGCGTACAGAAAACGCTCTAACGCCTCCTCTCCTGGTATGATGAAAAATAGAATGGAATAATGAACCACCAAAATGGAAAGGGTTATGTCAAAAGCCTTTCGAATCCATATTTAAGATTTTATTCAGAAAACCATATAAATAAAAAGGGAGCATTTTACCTGTGGTGGGCAGTGTTATATTCTCTTCCAAGCCCCACATTAGCGCCTCGGGTTCATGAGACCGAAGAAGTTGCCGTACATCTAATTGGCGAACAGACGTAATGCCTGATCTGCAAGACGTTAAATTTGAACCAGTTGAGAATCCCGTGAAAAAAAACGAATATCTGGAATTCAACACTGCTAGCGTTACAATTGCCATGCGTAAACAGGAATTTGATTGTTTGAGAAAAAAACCCACATGAATGCTGCGGATCAGCATTCGTCGAGAAAGATTTTAACATCAAAATGTAACAATATAATATGCAGGTGTGAAACGTACAAAATGGACGTGCTCAGCAAAACCAACATGCGTCTCGTAGAAGAGTGAACGAATTCCAGCAGATAAGCCACACTGAAAGGAAACAGTTCGGAAGAGGATCGGAAGAGGAATTCAGTAGCGATGTATCAGGTTTACATCTTGGTTGCAAAACGAGTCATCACACCTCCCCGCCTTCTACTACTATCGGAGAAATCACCGTTAAGCGCCACTTTCGGACCACATCCTTTGCCAAATATAGATTTCATAATATACGGAAAGAAAAACTGGGTAATCATTCGCAGCTTATTACAAAGTGTAAAACGCACCTGTAAGATAGGACATCATAAACCTGGAGAGATACGTCGACAACGAGATTCAGAATCCACCTAGATATGAATTCGAACCAATACGTTAGGCGAGAAATCACGGCAACTGAAAGTAAAAAATGAAATAAGGCTTCAGCTTACATAAGAAACATTAACGTAACAAGAATGCTGAGTTATGGACAACTCATCATTCTTACGGTAACTATCAGAAAGCAAACTGAACTTAATCAGTGGTTAATATACAAAATGTTTTGTTTACGGGTAACGGGTTCTCCTCAGGAGCCATGAGAATCACTCTCTGGCTGTTCACTCTTGCAAAAAAAATTTCTGTGACATGGACAGCTAGAGAGCGATTGAAGTAGTTATCACAACGAACGGATGTCCAAATAAACGTGGATCTTTCTATGGTATTTTGAAAGGGGTCTACGGTCCAAAAAAATACCCAAACTTGAAAACCGCCTGAAACCCTTCGTTTGCTTATACAACATGTTTTGCGACGTACCTGATCTTTCCATCCATCCAAATTCACTACGCTTACGGATGGCGCGCCTTCTCGGCAATGTCGGATTCACAGTGTCCCCTTGTGTCTGTTTCTTCTTCTCCACAACATCGACGGCACGTTTTGGACGAACTATAAAGTCAACGTGAGAGCAGGAAGGCAGGGCAGCATCTATGAAGTTTTTGTAAGTAGCGGAAGTAAAACGACATACTTGGAAGGAAAGAACTCGATCGCGATCTTTCGTTGTGCACCACTGTTGCCCTCATGGGTTCTGAACCATAACAAGCAAAACTTTGACGCAAGGATAACTGGTCAGACACATACCTCTCTCACGATTTGCTACAAGAACATTCTCAACGGTAGTCGTGCTCTTCAAGGGTTTAGAAGTTAAATTTTGAAGAACCTGAATTTATACCTCAGAGAAAAGCGTCTAGTCATAAACGAAACCGTGAAGAGCTCAACACACCTCGTATTTTGTTGGAGAATCTACGACTGGTGTCTTCTCTATCAAAGGTAAAGAAGTAGAATCACATACTGCGGCCTAAAAACCCTATATTTGCTTTTGTGACCTCTTAATACGCTTTCAACCACTACCTTCTCCTTCTTGACTGGAATTTTCTTTCTTGTGATCTTCTGAAACTCAACCGCTTGAGCGGACTTGGACTTGCGATCACCTGAAAATCACCGCAGTAGCAACACAGCAAGGAAACCAGTCTATCTTCTACAAGCTCACGGTGCGTGTTATTGGATTTGTAGTTGCCTGCGCTAGCCAGATTACGTGATTTAGAGGAACATGACCGATTGTCCATATCTGACTGTTGCTGGTTTTTCTTCCCCTGAAACCGATTTAGGTTCAGGTTCTTCATTCAATGTGTGGAAATATTTTGCCATAAATGAGCCAATCCGGCTAAATGCTGTCTAGGCTGTTAAGATGAGTTTGGTGCGATAGCAAACCCGTTAGCCACCAGTTTTTGAAGCAAACAAGTGGCAATACTGTATCGTATCGCTCTTATCACTCGTTTTCTACCAGATGTTGTCGCATACCAGCTTCAACAATTGGCAGGGAACGGGTTTGGCGCCGTGGCACACTAATACTGCCTGACACGCCTATTCATCAGCAGCGCTAGATTTTTCTTAGGCAGCGTACATGGTCTGCAATGTGCTTGCTCTTAAAATATACATAGGATTAAAAAATACAAATAATAAAAACTTTTTGCGAAACCTCTTGGATTCTCTTTGAATCTTTGAGTTTTTTGCAATAAAATTCTTTGGCGCGTCTTTTGTGTGTTTTACATTCAACGTGCTGAATGTCTATCCCCACTCATCTTATCTGACATACGCAAAAAATCATTATAATATAAAAACAGTCACCTGTGCTACAAGACTGCCATCAACACCACTTCCTTGTTCGATCCTAGCAGCAACATCACGATAACTAAATAGCGAAAGAAACTGATACTGACTCGAGGGTAAAATGAGTTGGGTAACTCTAAACGTACGATAGAGTAAATTAAAAAGCCAGCACCACACTAACCTCAAAACAGGTTTACTTTGTGATGTAGAAGAATTAAAAATAGGAGATTCTTCCGAGCATCCCTTCTGATTCTCCACTTTCTTAATGCTTTCAGTCGAAACATGACTATGCTCATTTCCGTGACATGCCCCAAAGTTGGGAGAACTTTCTTTCAGAACGCTGACACTATAGCCATGAGATGGAACTCTGACGGTCGTAACAGGATAGTGATGATGATTCTCTACCTAAAGAGGCGCACCAATACGGCCGAGCGTGGAAACACTGATCATGAAGGAAGTTTCACAAACCACATTATGTGTATGAGTGTGATGGTGCAGATTGTGATGATGATGGTGGATCTGTGGTTGAGTGATGAACGTGGGTGGTCCCTAAACTGGCAAAATTTTTGATTTTCAGAAATATCCTACTATATACAATCCGCTACGTTTGTCTGTTGGTGGGTGCGCGCGTGCAAGCTTGCTTGCGTGACTGCGCGAGTGCGTGTGTGACCGGAAATTCATAACCCCTAAGATTTAGTCGTAGAGAGCTCGAATTGATCAGTGATATGGGGCGGGAAAGAAACACGGAAGATGGGTGATACGGGGTGATAACTACTGTTTAGAGCTGTTGTCGCAACCGTAGGCACAGCCACCGTTGGAACGTGGTTCCAGGACACAATAAGGGGTGGGAGAAAGAACGAGAACATTACTAGGTGGGTTAGAGGAGGTGATAACAAGTGATGAGAGCTGACAAGAGACCCTAGAAAGAGGGCGCTACTAAATCCATGGCGCGTGGCACAGCAATGGTCAGCAGGTGTATCTAGAGACGACTTTAAGGTGGGGACTAGAACACTGGTACCGGTGAGGGCCAGAATGATGACCGGTAGGGATCACAGTGTCACTCTTGACATCTTCTCCACACTCCTTACGACTGGACTGCAGAGACTGTACCTCAATTAGGCTGCGTTCATACCGTGCGACGTCGTCGTCAACGTCGACGTAACCGACGTTTTCGGCGACTAGTTCGCGAAGATTATATACGTATCGATCCGACGTAACCGACGAAACCGTCGATTTTGACGACTACTTCACGAAGATTAGATACCTATCGATCCGACGAAACCGACGTTTTCGACGTCAGTCGATACGTATCTAATCTTCTGTCGTCGGTTACGTCGATTACGCCGACACGTGGATCGATACGTATCTAGTCGCCGAAAATGTCGGTTTAGTGGCTTTCGTCGGTTACGTCGGATCAATACATATTTCGTCTTCGTGAAGTAGTCGCAGAAAACGTCGGTTACGTCGGTTTCGTCGACGTTGACAACGACGTCGCACTGTATGATTGCAGCCTTATCAAATGGTAGAGGATCATACAATGGGCATGTTATATTCCATTCCTATGGCAGTAGAATCAGAAGCGATTCAACCGCTCAACTTTCAAGTCACGACTAAAATCAGATGCCCAGAAATGCCCTTCAACGAGGAGTTGCAAGGGAATACCCAATTACTGAGTGGGAATTGCTCTACTTTGGCTCCGAAAACTTCCATTATTGTTGACATCAAAACATCCACACCAACTTTCCAGTTTTCCAAGGAATGGTACATTCTTCAAATATGACAAGCACTTGATACTGGCAATAGGTCAACGACAAAGGCAAACAGGGTTGGATAGGTAGTGATAGTATTTCAAACACGGAAGCTGGACCAATAATACGGTAAGATGTCTTGCCAATGGTCAGCCCTGAAGAACACTAGATGTTGCGCGCAGTAGTGCGCGTCAGCAAACCTGTTAATGGTATAGCGGAAGTAGGTGGGTATTGACTTCCATAAGGATCTAGACATCAGAAATGCTCATATCCGGACACACCATCTCGGTTCTGGTAGCCACTGCAAGATTATAGCATCTAACCCACTCTGTGCCATCTTTCTGTATTCAGGCCTTCAATTGCGCTAGACGACTCCGTGCTCTTTCACGCTTACGAATCCTATGTAAAACCCTCAACAGGGTATGGTACCGTAGTTTTTAATCATTATAGAATCACGCTTATGACATGATTGAAAATGTCCGCGTTACCTTCACAAGGAAACTTATGATCGGAGTGTAAGAGTTTCTTTATGCCTCAACTAGAAATGTCGCAGTGAAAAGTTCGACTCATTGAAGTTCACAAAAATTCTTTACGGGTCTCCTGCTCTCCCCTCAACCCTTCTTCAATGCTAGAGTAGGTCCGTACCGCCAAATTGTTGCTCTATAGGCTAGTATTAGTCGGTCAATCTGTCGACCTCACTTATTCATCAATCATGTGTATTTGTCGTATTTCATGTTAAGCAAAAGGAAGAGTATTCCAGGTATTCCATTTAGCCATACGGCACTCAGGAGGTACCCCAATCGATACCTAGAATGATTATGATCAGTTGAACCCGTTAATACGTCCCCCTCTGTTTTTAATCTCGTTTTGAAGGTTTATTTTTATAGCAATTGACACTCGATAGCCGCATTTCATTTTAACATACCTCATTTTTGTATAGTAAATAACTTAATCTGACTGGATTTCACAAGTTATCTTTCACAAGCTAACTGTCCTCTAACCATTAATTCCCGAAATAATCTAGCATCCCCGGTCAGCTTTCGGCCGAGGGCATAGTGCCTCAGAAACTAGAAAAAGTACTCAAGGCTTTTTTCGAGGAAGAACCCCGTTTTGTTTTACACAACGGTCATACATATTATTTTTACTTATTTATTCATTTATTTCATGAGGTGTCTCGTGTGGAAACATTGAGTGAGCGACAGTAACCCGTATAATTTTTGATTTTTTATGAGCTTTGGAGTTTCGTTTTCATAAGGGTTGACTAGTCTCTGAAATTCAATACTATCATTCACATCTTCGAATCGCACAATGACCTTTAACAAAAATCTTCCCAATGAAATTTCAGGTGGGGGAGGTATCCAAAGAGGTCTTAAGTTCCCGTTTTGACATGTGGCCGTGCCCTTTTAGGGAACTAAACGATTTTCTATATCCTTCCTATATGCCTGCTAGTAAGGGGAAGGATTTATAATGCATTTTATAGTTCTAAATTTATAATTTTTAAAATAGTTAGGATTGCTATCAGTAAAAACATCCATGAAATATGTTAATACTCCATGTAACTGTGAGATTCGAAGGTGTATGATAGTATTGAATTTCAGAGACTAGTCTGCCCTTATGAAAACGAAAGTCCAAAGCTCATAAAAATCAAATATGATAACGGGTATGCGGCGTGTCGCACTCAATGTTTCCACACGAGACACCCCATGAAATATTTATTTATTTATTTATTTATTTATTTATTCAATGCACGCAGAGGTGCGCCTTATACCATTCGAGTTGTAACAAATCAAGCGAGCTACAATCTTACCTAACATCAACTTGTGTTAAGATACAATAACTAAAATAGGAATAAAGGTCCTCAGTCAGATCCTGGCCAGAAAAATGAAGAGTTGTGACAAAGTCAGTCCTTCACCGGTTATAGGAGTATGAATCGGGTCCTCCTATTGACTCGATGATGCTAACTTCGGCGGCGGATGACGCTGGGGAAAACGTCACTCCCAGATAATAACCAAACATGGAATAGGAAACCGAATTTTCGGATGTTAGGTATTCCCTATCCCTAACAATCCAGCTTCCTACCCGCCAACTCCAAGTCGTTCACAAACTAGCTTCTCGGACTGACAGTACTCCTAGGTGTGGGCTCTAGGGTAAATGGCCAGACGGACTGGTGACCTCCCACCTATAGAACACGTCTGGTTAAGTAAGATGCAAGATTGCAGAATAACTTAGTGAAAATAAAAAAAACAAGAAAAGAAATCAAAACGCACAGGTTAGAACATGAAAATTTAACGAAAAAGAAAAGAAAGAAACAATCGCGGCTTTTCCCATTTTGGGACTGGGGCCTTTGAGTTTGTGAGCTGTACTAGCGCCAGGTACCGAGTTAAGAGTGCAACCTGACTTGAAAAAAATGACATCAAGATGACCATAGGCTAGACACTGGACCAAGCAGAAACCGTCAAAAATTTATGAATACCCAATAATAGACACAACAAGCTCAACTATGTCCTCAGGCTTGCCTCTTGACAGGCCCTACAAATGTTTTGAACCTCGAGCATTTCAGCTGGAAGGAGCTGAAGCCATCTTGCCCCACGAAAGAAGAGAGAGCTAGAAACCTTAACGTATTGTTTTTTCTCCCCAGCATTAGGGCCATTGCAGAGAGAATTTGTATGCTGCCCTCGACAAGGCCTGAACGTCCAGTACTTGCTCGGTCTTAGCTTCAATTCACCCTTCAGCAATTTGAAGCAAAACACAATATCATTGAAAACGCGCCTGTAAAGAAGTGTTCTGAGTCCAAATTTATTTAGGCGCTCTCTGTAACTGGGCATACAAACTCGGGAAGCTGGATCAGGATCGCAGCGATGCACAAGGATTTTCGTGAAGGCTTGCTGTACCTTCTCTATTTTAGCTTGCAATCCTTTTTGTATTGGGGCTCCATACTTGGGACCCATATTCTAGTATGGGGACAACATAAGCCTTGTAAAGTTTCAAAAAGGTTGCCGCATCATTGTAGTGGATATTTCTGAAAATCGTTAACATAGCCCCAAAAGCTTTTTTCACAATGACACTAATGTGACGATACGAAATCCAGCTCCGAGGTCTCATCATGTATTCCCATGGTCGCCACTTTTTAGTGTTTCCTAATCGCACACGCCATTTGATTCGTGTTATGGCAGCCTGGGATAAGCATCCCCATGTGGAACACCGATGTCTTCTCAAGATTCACAGGTATCCCCCAAGCCTCAGCCCACTTCATCATATTCTGAATGGATTGGGTTAATGCTTGGTGAATAGACTCGTGCGTGTCTTCGGTATAAACACGCCGTACACACCCCTTGATGGTCGTCAGCCGTACATGTGAATCTCTTACCGGACGGGTCTGTGTTGTCAAACAGCTAGGTAAGTCATAAGTATACACCAGAAATAGTAGAGGCGACAATACACCCCCCTGGGGAACCCCACTGGTGCACAAGTAACGGTTTGAAAATGCGTTTCCAACTTTAACACACATCGCCATGTTCTGTCATTTAGTAAGCGGCGTAATGCCCAATCAAGAATGGGTCCACTGATACCCAGATGACACAGTTTGAGGAGAAGCTTGTCGTGGCTTACTTTATCAAAAGCCTTGGAGAGGTCGAAGTATATTACGTCAATGCCTTGCCCTTTATTTATGGAAATACTCCAATCAAACACACAGTCTAGCATGAGTGTACATGTGGAAGCTCCAGTCACAAATCCGTGCTGTTCGATGGGAATCATCCTGTTTTTGCTGAGGTACGCAGCCAGTTTATCGCGTATCACTTTCTCCAACACTTTAACCAGGTGTGGTTATACTTATTGGGACGATACGCATTGATACAAGAGTGAAATCGGATGTTGTAGGGATAGCAGTATAACGTGCTCTTCCATACGGAAGGACTTCACCAAAACTATTAGGATGCATATCTAAGAATCATACAACTGGGCTTATGTCAGTAAAACGCACACTTCTTTGTCTTGTATAATCTGAGGAATACCATCGAACGGCACAGAACAAGAGCTTTTGAATGACTTCAGAATTCTGTACACCTCCTCTGGGGTAACTACGATACCAGAAGGGCAAAGTGCTTGAGAGACAAACGTTGAATGGCCGTTGAAGCCAGCTTCTATCCTAGTAAAAACGGAAGCGAAAAAATTCGCGAGTGCCTCTGCTTTTCGAGAATCAGTCAAGATTTGGCAACCAGAGTGGTCATAGAGCACTGGTATGCTTGTCTGCGGCTTCATTTTGTTTTTTATCAGAGTGAAAAACATTCTCTTTCGTGGATTATTAGCAATTCGTTTTTCTTTGTTGGCTAGAAATTTCTTTAAATGATGATCAAGTTCGTTACAAATGCGTTTATAATGGGAAACTGCCAAGGGAGAGTCTTGCATTACGCAAAAAAGTCGAGTTTTTTGAGCCATCAAGTTCCTAATGTGATTTGGATATTTCACTTTCGGAGCATTAAAAAAGGCTCGAAAGGGACGAATTTGGCAAATCCAGCGTAAAGAATACGACAAAATCTCTTATAAAGGTCGTCCACGGACAAGTATCCCTCGAACGCACTCCACCAGTCGATTACAGATAGGTATTCCGAAAGCCCAACGAAATCAGTCTTTATGAAGTTTGGTAGAGGAATTTGTCTGTGTTCCGGAAGGGAAATAAGGAATTCAAAGGCAACTGCGTTGTGGTCGGAGCCTGCAAACGGCCCCCCCCATCGAACAAACAATATTAGATTCTGATAAATGGACGCATTGCTAATACTATGTCTAGGACTGAGCTTCCACGTGTAGGCTCTTTCACATGTTGTATTAAACCACAACATTTGAAAAACTCCAAGAATTTAGAGGACACAGAAGTTTTGGCTTTTCCCTCTGCCCAATCTATTTCGAGGTTGAAATCGCCGAGTACAATCAAGTGTTGGCCCGAGGAACAAACATCAAGCAGAGCGTCTATGAGACTTTCATTGTCATCAGAACTAGAATTGGGAGGTCTATATGTCAGTGCGACTCTAAACACCAAAGAGGTAAACAAGTCATATCCCTGGAGACATAGAAGTTCAGCTTTCAGATTAGAAGTAGGAATAGTAGTCAAACTGAGCGTATTTTTGGCTATGCAACAAACTCCACCACCTCTCTTTCCGCGGCGGTCGAGGCGGAAAACGCTGTAAGGGCGACCACATAGTATTTCGGTATCAGTTATTTTAGCGGACAGCCACGTTTCAGTGATAAAGACTAGATCGGGATGATATAAATCGAGAAACAAATGGAGGTGGTGCAGTTTGTTGCTTAGACTTCTAGAATTGAAGAGATAACATTTCATGCCGGGGGGTGTTCCGTGACGAGTTAGAGGTTTCCCTGCCTTCCCGATTTAGGAAGTTCATCGGAACGCCTCAACTTCCCCGCCCTCACGGGGGTAAAACACCCAAATCCGTCCGCATTCAGGTTGCTTATTACGCGCTCTGCATTCTTGTCGAAGTTGAAATTCACGACTACGCTCTGCAGGCGTTAAACTTTTGCGTACAAATACATTCGGCAGAGCAGAGGCGCGTAAGCGATGACTGTTCGATAGCGCACTGATCCAGTGGCTCTTTGACGGGAGAACCACTTTAACGAGACGTGGGTGTGTTCCCCCGGGTTTACCCATGCGGTAAACCTCCACTGGCCTACATTCTACACCTAATATATCTAAAACTTCTGTAACCTTTGATTCCACGTCCCGCTGCTTGCCGGAGGGCGTCGTCTCTGAAGTTGACTCCGACAACCCGGAGATGACAAGACTCCGCCCCCTCTTATCTGTCTCCAAGGCGTCCGCAATAGTGTCTGGTAATTTAGCCACCAGAGCATTTATAAATTTGGCCATTACTGGACACACTACTCTTAATGTTGTTCGTTGCGCTCAATCATTGCATGAGAATTTCAGTCATAGACATTCCTGCAATTTCTTTGTCAGTAGGACCCTGATCTACAACGACGGTATTGCCCGAAACAGTCTTGCCACTGCTCTGGCGTGTACGGGATCGATTTTGAGACATAGCTAGCCGATATACACGCAGTTCTGATCGAAAAAACGCAAACTTATCTGGCGGAGTGGACGTCGGACTTATAAATACCTTCCACTAGAGTTTTAACGAATAGTGGTTATGAATCCTATATGAATACCACGTCGCAAGGTATAGTCAAATATCAGAAAAATATCAGAAAATAGAATGTCAAATTAATAAATATCCAACGGGGGGGGACACGGATAGCTCTATCCGTCAGGACCGAAAGCAAGCGAGGACACCTCATGAAATAAATGAATAAATAAGTAAAAATAATATGTATGACCGTTGTGTAGAACAAAACGGGGTTTCCTCGAAAAAAGCCTTGAGTACTTTTTTCTGGATTCTGATGCACTATGCCCTCGGCCGAATATCTACCTTGAAAGCTGACCGGGTATGTCTAAATTATTTCGAGAAATGTTGGTTAGAGGGCAGTTAGGTTGTGAAAGGGGTTGGACCGAAGAAAAACACTTGGAAGGCAGCCATCTTAGCAAAAATATTCCAAACGCGATGACGTGCCCTGCTTCACATATAGCTGACTCAGAATGTCATCACTGGAACGGGAGAAGGGGGTATGATTTTAGGAGTTTGGTAAGTTAGGTGTTGAGGCACGCAACGTGTTATGGCATTTTGTGAACGTGGGAACAGAGGAAACATTGGAAGTGGTGAACCACGCTTTACGGAACGCGTGGACTGCCTTCTTCATGAAGGAGTTGGTCGCCAACATCGAAGCTTGCTCGTGGGCGTGTAAGCGATCTTCTAGTCACTGACGTTTCAGAGGCGTCAGGCGGGGCAACGATAAGGTAAGACCAGTGGCGGGAACTCACATTGAATTTCGGACTACTTCTCGAGAAAATGAATAAACTTACGTTTTGGATGAAATAGTCGGACGGTGGTGATTTTGGAAACGGTTGATATTCGCTGTTGTACCATTGTGACTAAAAAGTTCAGTCATTATCTTCACAGGAAGATTCATGATGATAATGTACTCATATATGAAACAGCACCTGAATTGGAGGAGAGTATGGAGGTGGTGGTTCCGGCCAGTATGATCTCAGCAAATTATTGGTGCTAATTGGTCCGACACCACTGATGACAGACACGGGAGGGATGGCGCCGGGTGACGAGGAGGATCCTGAAACTAAAGATACACACGTTTACGGTCTGCTCCGTGTTCAAGAGAACAGCATTTCCTATTCCAGTATTTTGGCCACTTTCATATCTAGCGACTCTGCAGAACTGGGTACGCTGAAAAGGAAGTACGCGTATCGATCTGAAGAATAGCGAATAGAGATTCGGCGGCACGGCATTGTCGAAAAATGCGCTGGAAGGGTTAGGTGCGTTTATATTTGCAGCAGCGTAGCGAAGCGATTAGAGCGTTTTAGCGTTTGCCTGCGGCGGGGCTAGAGATTATAGAAGAGTAGGAGAGTATTTTGTACTCTTCCATACTCTCTAGCCCCGCCGCTGGCAAACGCTAGCGAAACGCTAGTGAAACGCTCGTGAAACGCTGGAAGCGCTACGCTGCCGCAAAGTATAAACGCAGCCTATGCTTCCCGTGACCTCGCTATGCTAGCGTACGCTGGTGACGCTGGAAACGCTAGATGGATATCTATCCTTTCCCTGACGCTGCCGCAAAGTATAAACGTAGTCTCAGAGTGCATTCGTATTTTGCAGCGTTTTGATGCGGCTCAAAACGCTAAAGCCGTGCCTGTACTATCCCAGTGGCTGAGAACGCTGGCACACGCCCAAAAGGCTGACGCAAAAGATGAAGGACACTCTAGAACACCTGGCGGCTGATCTATGCATTAAAATATCCAAAAGAGTTTAATCTCGCATTTCCAAAATCGAAGGCCGCAGAAGCGCGTACTAAGGCTGCATTCATACTTTGCTGCATCCACCAGCGTTTCGTGCGTACGTCAGCGCCAGCAGCTAGGAAAACACAGATGTCAATGTAACAAGCGCCAGGGCATGCCAGTGACTAGGAAAGTACAGATATCGATCTAGTGAACGCTAGTGTCCATCAGCGCAAAGAAGCGTTCCGAGCAAATAGCAAAGTATAGATATCGATGAAGCGTACGCCAGCATACAGCCGCGCTTTCGCGGGCAGTTTTGCTCAAGCTCAACTTGCCCGCTGGAGCGCTGGCATATGCTAGATCGACATCCATACTTTCCCAGCCTCTGGCGTTCACTAGCGCAACGCAAGGTACAAAAGCAGTCTAAGACTTCGTGCCTATCAACGCTGGTTTGAAAGCAACATATTTTCAAATCCTGATTCTACGATAACAGGTTTTACTAAACAAACTGGGATCACTGAAAGGAAAAACCCTTGCAGAACAGAGGCCTTGACCCTGAAGTCTGACAGAAATGAGGATTGCTCAAAGGCAGTTGGCATGATAAATCCCCAAGACGACTAGGATCAATACTCCTGGCAGGATAGAATTCCGCGACCCTGGGCAGGCGCTGCATAGCGGTTTCCCGAGGAAGGTGCCCTTATAAGGGCCCTATCAAGCCACAACTTTACGTCCCAAACGCCCCCGCCACAAATGGACGACCGTTCCTGACGCTCGTATTCATTCATTTGCTGAAGCAAATTATGAAGCGAAGGGATTGGTATGAAGCGGCCGTGATGCTGCATGCATACATGGGTACACATATGCAGCCGTATCTTCGGTAGCGGTGATTGGTAAGATGCCTACGGGAAACTCGTCCGAAATCGATTTACAAGTCACTGAGAACGGAGGCTTTTTCTTCGCAGGATTTTGACCGTCACTCCGTTCTTTCGCCATTTCCCCACTATACAGCGCCCTACTAGCATTTTAGGCTAAGTAGGAAACCATCGTGCCAACTGCCTTTAAGTGAATCCTCACCTCCATTAAATTTCCCACAATGAGACTCCCAAATGCCCCTCTCAGCCGAGTTGTGCCGATAGCGTGGATGCACGAGCAGTTCCTATCTACTTTTATGAAACAGAAAAAATAAACAGTTACTCTGGTTCAACGGTGGTGGCGGATTGTAGCAGGAATCCTCATCGAGGAGATTACCCAGAAAGTGCTTTTCTGGATCATCTACGGTTGATGCGTGCCCAGCCATCTTTCACGCATCTGCAATAAAACAAAATTAAACAAATGTTACGATGAGGTGGCAATGCAATTCTTAAGACTGGTGAAAACACGGGATACCAAAAAAGATCTCGCGATAACGCGATCAATTCAGTACATATTTCAACTGATATGGCGGCGAAGAATGACGAACACTGAACTGTGATATAAGTTTGGCACTGGGAAGCGGCCCATCCATTCTGCTAATCAAGATCTGACTCATACATGTGGAGAAAACATTCGCTACTGGCAGAATTTGGCGTTGGGCGCAAGTTTAGCGAAGAAGAGAAGCCTCGAAGTGCTTGTGTAAAACTGAGACTGGTTTAAAATCAGTTCGGGGACGGCTGATGCCGTTTGGACGCGCTCAGTTGGCTGCAGGCTCATTTATGAAGTGCTTAGACCACCAAATCCCCTGCATTGTATACTGTATTTATTTTATGCTGAATAAAAATATGACATTCATTCTTAGAGGAAACGGGACATGGAAAAACCCACACTATTCGCGTTCTGCTAAGGTCAGACCAGAAGATGATCGTAGTATCCTCCATAAGCGCCAGCGCCAAGAATGAATGCCATATGTGTATCCTCTGTATACAAGTTTTGAGCAGACTCGGTGATCTAGACACTTCGTAAATGAGCCCGCAGTCAAACTGAGCTCGTTCAAAAGGCATCAGTCCTGACATCGGGAGGGGGGGGGGCATTTTGCACTTTCGCTGCCCCTCATTGTCGTGTTTGATAGGTATCCTTCACAGGAGTTGACGAATAGTTTCTACGAATTTTGAATGGTATCATTTGAGGACTTTACAAAATTTTACAAATCTCTTTTTGATGGCTTGATAAGACAATGACAAGCAGCGAAAGTACATTGATCCCCCCCCTCCACGTCAGCGAAGTGCGCTCTGAGACTTTCAGAATGTGAAACCCCTTCCTATACAGAGGAATCACTTTGACATACTTGGAAGCTAATTCACTCAAGAGCAAATTTCCATCACGGTAATCCCATTCGCACAGGGCCTTATCGAAGGCCCCGCCCACCCACCCCCCCCCCCCCACTCCCTCAGTTGCGCCAGCATTAGGTCCCTCAGTTCCACGAAGTTAGTTATCAGCCGAACTTATTTGATAACTATTCCACTTAATAAACCAAAGCCAGCTATAAGATGTTGGTTTTTAGATTCTAGCCGCCTATCGAAACACGAGGGCCAAAGTTGGATTACTTCACAACCACATCGTGAACATTTGTCGCCAAGTTTCTGGCTACTTATAACTGACGTTGCATTCTGCCTATGAGCGGAACTCGAGCAAGGAGGGTCGACCGGGGCCAGCCAACTAGGGTACGTTATCCAGGTAATTTATCACTGAAACTTATTAGAAAAGAAGAAAAGCGAAAGCATTAAAGAAGTGCTGCAGAACGTCCTACCGTTTCGTCCATTTCCACACGTCTTTGCTATTTCAACAAAGACCATAAATACTCCGTATACTTTCAACACAAGAACTTACATATGACAGCCTGCTAACTACACCCTTCTTAACTTCGTATAAAAATTCTCATTCTAAGGAGAGTAAAGGAGAATCTGTTTGCGACATAACAGAAAAGAAATCTATTATGACTGAATAGCGATATAAGCAATGGAACAAATACAGCAATCCCACCAACAATCATTCAGCTTCTCGCCCATGAAGCTCAATAGGCGCCAGCCAATTTGTGCCGTCTGCACAATGTC